CTTTCCAAACCTAGAGAGGCACTCAAATATCTAGACCCACTAAATACAAAGGACTCCACCTAGAATCAAGCCAAGAGCTCCAATGCACAACATAGCCAGACTGACCAAAACCACAGACAATCACAAGATTCAAAAATTGGCAAGAGAGGAACATGAGACTGACCAAAACCACAGACAAACACAAGATTCAAAACTTGGCAAGAGAGGAACATCAAGTTACTCACAAAAGATATCCTATCAGGCTAACAGTGGATCTCTAATTTGAAACAATGCAAGCAAGGAAAGAATTGGAAAGTATATTCAAAGCGTTGAGTGAAAAACAAATTCAGCCAAGAATTCTACACCCGGCAAGATTGTCCTTCATATGGGAAGAAAAGACAAGAACATTCTCAGATAAACAAAACCTGACAGAATTTACCAACACCAGACCAGCTCTCTGAAAAGTTCTGAAATGAGCGCTATACCAGGAAAATTAGACAGACACACAGAAATAAGAGTCCAAAAAACAACCAAGAAAATGGCCAATTTAATGGTAGGGACAAGTCTGGAATTGAGTATTAATTTCCAGAATTTAAATAGAAAGATCGGACCACAACAGAAGAAAGATTAATTGCATGGGACTGAACTGGTAAAATAGAATTTATGACTTTTGATTAAAACATGACTGATTTTCTCTTTGTTCCCCAGATTTAAGGGATTTTTTGGCTTCTCCTGAGCTACTGATTGGTTCATCTACCTACAATTTGAACAGAATTCTAACTTTTTTGCTGGCTTTAAAGTCCTAAGCAAATTTAACATTATGTGATTTTGATTTATTAAAGCTAAAACTGCTTTTCTTTAAATTAAAAAATATATTTAAAAATACCTATTTAATGACCACAGTAAGCTATTTAGCCTCAGTTAGGTACGACTTTATAGTATAGTTAGGTACGACTTTATAGTATGTTCAATCTACGCACTGAGTTTAATGCTTAAAGTCAAACTGTGGAAAGCAGCCAATCTGAGCAAACATGGTGACCTTTAGACATATGTAGAAACCTGCTTCCCTAAGTTTCATTCACATGGCTATTAAAGCATTTGTATATGAAAATGCTAACTGCCTTTGTCGACATAGCAGAGCAATATCAGACTAAAGGAAGCCACATGTATTTATCAGATTTTGCCCTAAAAATATCAGAGAAATTGCATGGTGCCAGTCATCATAGCATCTTCAGACGATTTATATCCAAAAGCAACTGGCTTTACATTCCATTTCCTCTTCCCCCATTTTCTGCTTTTTAAAAGAATAAATTCAAGGCTGGTTTTTTGTTGTGGGTTTTCACCAGAGAAGTCAGGCTCACCCAATCCTCACTTTGCTTTACTTGTATGTCTTTATGTGTTTATTTTTATGTTTATTTCTAATCCACAGTCTCCCCACTCAGAAAAATGTGTTCTGCCAAGTGGGTCCCAGCATCAGATGTGTTCACAGATATGTATGTATCAACTGAACTTGCTATTGAAAATATTTAATTAAGATTTTTTGGTACATCAATAAAATGTGAAAAAAAAAAAAAGAGGTACAGAAAGCAACTGTAGATACCAGAGCATGTGGAAGGAGGGCGGGAAATGGAAGATTTCTCACTTTCCCTCTCTCTGACTCTGGGAAGTACATGTGTATGATGGGGGGAAAATCTATAAATAAAAGGTCATATCTAATCCAATTAAAAACTCCAAACTTATACCTAATTTCACCTCCTTGTCCCCAACTTGCATGGTCTATGGTTCCACAGCTGCAACTTGGAGTGAGTCAAGATCTGTTTTCATCTCCTTCCTTTCACTCCCCTCCATCTTGCCTCCTAGGTCTTGGCTCCCACAGGGGTAGAATGGGGTATGTGGATAAAATCTCTTACATGGTGCTATTTGTAGTTCTCTCTTGATGATGCATACTCTCTGGAATGCTGCCTCTTCATGGACAACACTTCATGGATCTTTCAAAAGCTTCTGTCTCTCCTGCCGAACGCTGGCTTTTCATGGGCACTTCATGGATCTTTCAAAAGCTTCTGTCTCTCCTGCCAAGGAACTCTATCTGCTTAGTATCGGAATGTGAGTGATGTACTCTTTGGCTTACCTCTTGTCTCTGGGGAGAAGGCAGTCTTCTATGGTCTATATGCTAAGGTCCCTTGCCCCAGAAGATGGTCCTCTTAGTGGGAAGCTCAGTTTTCTTTCCTGGTGCATTTCACTCATGGAAATATTACTCATCGTGCCTCACCAAATACTGCCCTGCCTGCCAATGAGGGCTGCTTCAGCCAGCATCCCACCTTTAGGATTCTCCAGGAAGGTGGCAGACATTAGTCTCTATATTCAGGTCTGCCCTCCTAACTTGTTTTCCTGAACACTCTTTGATCAAGATGAGGGCACTCAGATGGGCTTATGAATTTCTGCAGTTCTATAGGTATTGAATGTGCCCTCCCCACCAACTTGGATGAGGTAAGAAAGGGATGCATTAAGCTGATAATTTATAATTCAGAAGAATATCATCAAGGAATTCTAAGCTTTTACTTATTTAAGAGGATTAAGGTGTGGGGGTGAGAATCCAAAGACAAGTTTGGCCTCTTATCAAACTTTGTGGACAGGTAGTTCCTACACTGCCTTCCTTGGGATGTGGAGGTATTTTGGTCTGTTGCCCTCAGCTTTAGGGCTGTCACCAAAGTTTTGGGACAAATGAAAATGTACTACTCTACACTTGGTTACTCACATCATAAAAACTTCAAGACATTATCTTGCCATGTGAAAAAGAAAGTTCTTATCTTTAATGATAATAACTATTATTTGTTGAATGTTTATATGGTCCCAAGAGCTTTACATACTTAACATATTAACTGCTTATGATACTCTTATGAGACAAAATTTTATGCCATGTCAGTGAGAAAACCTGAAACTCAAGAGTTTACATAGCCAGTGGCAAAATTGGAATCTGAATTCAGTCTGTCTGATTCGAAACTCAATCTGCATTTGAAGTTGAGTGACAGAGTTAATATTTAGTGCAGTTGTCCTGCATATATATTAGCTATGGAATTGGGGTGGGGCATAACTGTCACACAGAGTTGAAATATCCTTAAGCCCATCAGACATTGTGAATTCAATACATAATGAATACACTAGTATTTCTTTTATACAGTTAGCCTGGATCTGTGAGTTCCACATCCTTGGATTTAACTAACTGTGGGTCAAATATATTCATAAAAAGAAAACAATGAAAACAAACAAAAATAATACAAATAAAAATTTAATACATTATAAAAACTAGTTATATAGTACTTACATTGTATAAGGAAGTATTATAAATAATCTAGAGATGACTTGAAGGGAGGACGTGTCTAGGTTACTTGGAAACACTATGCTGTTTTATATAATGGACTTGAGCATCTGGGAATTTTGATATTCACGGGGGGGTCCTGGAAACCACCCCCCATACTGAGCAGGACTGTATATCAATTGGGTTTAACAAATAGTGAATTTTCTCTTTGTGCCAGGCATTGTTCTAGGTATAGAAAGTACATCAGTATATAAAATAAACAAAAATCTCTATCTTTGTGGTAATATAAATTCACTAAAATCATATTAAAGTTATATTTTTAGTCATCATGCATCTTACTTAGATGAGATTAAATATTTAACTATTATCAAGTGAAGACTCAGCAGAATCTTACTATTTCAAGTGGGTCTTCCTACTGGCCCCATGGAAACCACTAATTAAACCCTCACAAGGACATGACCTTCTAGAAAAAGGAGGCATTTGTATCAAGTCCAGTCTAAGACTGACAATATTCGGGTCACAGAGGAAGTACTAGGTAACCATGCATCATACAGCTTGGTGCAATTATGACTATTTAAATAAATTAGGTTTAAATGTTATTGATGAAAAAGATGAAGAATCTTGGGACCACGGTTTTAAGTTGGGAAGCAAATTACTTTGTCTCTTGTTTACCTTTGACTTTAGGACTCTCTGAGGTTCCTTTTAAAGTTCTTACAGGAGTCTGGGACCAGTAGATGGCATAATAGTTACACACTGCACTCTCACATAGTCCACTATAGTTCAAGTCTCGGACTCCCTGGCTTAAAACTCAGGCCAGGCATGTGTGCATGCTCCCTTAAAATCCCAAGAGGAGAGTGGAGGAGAAGGGACTGAAGCGTGGCCATCCCCCCTGGGTGGGGGTGGTTTCTTGCTTTCTGCCTCTCTGTCTCTGTCTTCAGGAAAATCTCTCTGTATAAAAAAAAAAAAAAAAAAAAAAGTTCTTACAGGAGTCTGTCCCAAACAGGGAGCAAAGTCACATTTGACCTAGAACTTCAATACTTAAGATCCACAAGGAAAAGACTTTTACGCACCTAAGCTCTAAGTCAAAGGCTGTATGACTAAAGATCCGTATTTTAAGAAACGGTGTCAGGGAGGTAGCTTTTGTTCTCTCTCAAGACAGCTTTTCCTTCGCCGGCCGCTAGTGCGAGAGAAGGGCCCGTGTTAGCATCAGCAGTCCTCCGGGTCCTCTCAAAGGTAGGTAGCAAGAAGTAGTTATCCTCTTCACAAGCCCGCCCAGAAAGCTGAAGAGGCAGGAGACCGGCCTGGGATGAGGAAAGTTCTGGCACTGCTCTCGCACCTCACCTTGCTGTCGGTTCACTGCGTCTATGCCAAGCCCTCATCTCCTCAGTCTGACACTCCTTTCCCCTTCGCTCGGTTCCCTCAAACTTCCACTTCACTCCACAAACAAGTCCCGGCTGTCGAACCACATTTCCCACAATGCCACGCGCCGACCAGGCTCTCGTTGGGACTTTCCTGAGATGCCTGTATAATTTATGTAATTAAACTTAATATTCTGGGAACAGCCGAGTTATTAGCTTCTCCTCCCATAATATGCTAGTTTTTATTCTCCACCTGCGACGCTCGATGTCCAGTGAAGAGGGTCGGGCGGAGGATAATCTGTTCAGGCGTCTTCTCTGGTCACCCTCCTCCTCCTGCGTCGACCCGTGTTAGGTCCCCTGGGGGCTTGGGAGTGTCATTGGTGGATGACCGCAGCCCTTGCTGCTGCTGCCACCGCGACCATGGTCTCCGGCAGCAGCGGCCTTGCCGCCGCCCGGCTACTGTCGCGCACCTTCTTCCGTGAGTCTGGGAGGGTCTCTCGCACTGGCCTCGCGGGTTCCTGCATTGCCCGGGTCCAGTGTCCCGGCCTCGGCCAAGGCTGGGCCCTCCAGGGCGGGACCTAGGCGCTGGGACTGGAGAGTTCCTGGGGTTCCGGCCCCAAGTCCGGGCCTTCTGGGCTGGAGAGAGCTTTGCGGATACTTCTGTGTCGGGGGCGGGGGTGCGTGACTTAGCACGCTGGCAGATGGTGGTAGGGTGACTGAGCCAGGATCCGAGTGTAGGAGCTCCGCAGACCTAGGAGCATGCTCTTGCCCCCCGAGGTGACGAGTGGTGGGGTGGGGGTGGCGTTTAGATTGGACCTGATCGGAACGAGGGGTGAAGACATCCAGGTTAAATTCAGCTGGCCCGAGAGGTAGTGGAAGGGTGTTTCAGTCGGAAATTAGGAGGTGCAGCTGTCCTCTGCACGGAGGGTTCTACATTTCGAATTGTGCTTTCTGGGGGAAAGGTTACTTCTGCATTTTAGAGTAAGCATAGCCCTGTAAACTCTTAGAAGCGTAGGGTTGGGTGGAATCTTAAACCAGCTTATGTGCAGCGTCTCCCACCAGGAGATGTGCACACTCCAGTCCTGAAAACTTAATACTCAGGGGTGCTAATCTTTCAGAACTCTGATGAAGATTCTTGCTATGGTCAAAAGTTGGTTATAAGAACTTTTGGAATCAGTCTCATCAGAATTTGAAGTCTGGCTAGAACTTTTACAGTCTGTATAGGAATCCTGGGCACTTTTCTTAATTCATTTCTCAACTGTTTCAAATCACATGAAAATAATACCATATTTTAACGAATCTGAGGAACTATCATTGTAGGATAGTTTTGTTTACTATCATTAGTGGAAAATGATCAATCACTAATTAAATTGTGACATACTATTTGTTGTCAGATTTCTCCTGATTTAAGAGATGTTAAAAAGTGGAAAATGTGCATCTTAGAAATAAGTACAGGATGATCTGAATTTCGTGCAGAGTAAGTGAAGCAGTTTATAAAGCACCTGGCGTGTAGTAGACACTCACCCTTAGTTTTCTTTTTCTCTTCCTTTCCTTTGTTCCTAATTCTGCTGCTTATACTGAATCTTAGATGAGACTTTATTCCTTTCTTGACAAGACTGTTTTCTAAAAGTGTGCAATAATGAGTGTGCCCTCAGTAGCCACATTTAATAGTTACCAAATAACTTGAGGACAAAGGTCCAGCTAGATAACATTGGCAAGTAGGAAAGATTTGTTTATTGGGGAGAAATTTTCTGGTAATACTTAGAATAAAGAACAGTTGAGAAGGGGAAAAAAAAAGGGATTAATTATATCCAGTAATCACTTTGATCAGATGAGTTTGAGTACCAGAAATGAGATAGATAGTATTGGATATGAGTCTAAACTGACTTAATCTGAGTCAAATGTGGTTTAAGATACAGAAGGCTGGATGTGCAGCACAGGCACTGTGGTGAGAAAGCCCAGGAAGGAGTTGCCTGCAAGTTACATGTTTTCCCCTAGTTTTTGGTCTGAGGTTCTGAAAGAACCCAGCTTTGGGTAGGTCTGCTCTCTTGCTCTCTCTTTGGAAAAACACCCCCAACAGTGATGTTTTCCATGCTAGTATTTCTTGTCATTGCATCTAAGAAACAAATATTTTCACAAATGCAAAGTAACTTTGAACCAAGTTTAACAACGTAGACAAGAGAAAGTTGTTTAATTTTCTGACATCTTGTTTTTCCATAGAAACATAATTGGGAATGTCCAAAATAATTGCTCTTAAGTATAGAGGAACAATTTTATTTCACCAAAGGAAAGGTATTGTGTAGCCTTAGACCCATAGTATTTTGTATTACAACATTTCTAACATTGGGATATGTCTTATAATTTAAGCCATCCTACAAAAATTGACAGCAGTTTTTCTTTCTTATTAGTACTTAATAGTACTTCTGAGGAATTAATGGTGTTTTAGATTTGATAGACTATGTGGTACTTAGAGCCAACAAGCTTCATCTCTAAGTCAACATTAAATGAATATACAATTTCATACTTGAATGGTAAATTGTTTAGGACTTGGATGGTAAGCTGCTAAGGTATTCTGCTGTATCTTAAGGCCCTATAGGTAGGGACCACAATAGCCTCAAATTAAAAATACATATACATGCAATCCATAAGTATACACTTGTTAAATTCACAAGTATATGGATGAATAAATGAGTAACAGTAACAGGATCATAGTTTAAGAGGAGAATTGGAGAAGTATTGTTTTACAGGTATTGGGCTTAAAAATGTAGGGTCAAATATGGAAAGCATGTGGCTGTTCAGAAAACATTTACAGTGGGAGTGAAACCTAATTTTCAGTTCCTAGATTTAAAAGGAGCCATTTATTGTTGAGTCTAGCTTTCTTTTTGAGGAATGAAAATGATAAACTTCAGCTTTCCTTTCTCATTTAGAGAAGACTTGAAGGTTATGGTTCTTGGTTAAAAAGTGGATCCTAAGACCAGCAGGTGGCATAGTGGTTAAGGCACTGGATTCCCACATTGCTGATTGCGGTTCAAGTGCTTGACCTGGCGGCTGGAAAATCACTCCAGGCGTGCATGCATGCGTGCCCAAAATACTAGTAGAATGAAGGAGAAGGGATTGTGGCATGGTTATCCACCTAGGGGTGGGGTGAATTCTCACTTTCCTTCTCACTGTCTCCCTCTCTCCAGTGAGTGCACACAACCTGTGACAAAAATCTAAAAACAAACAAAAAACGGGTGGGGTGGGGAAATTCTGAAGAGTAGAACAGTTTCTGGTTTGTTTTTCAAATTTATTTCTGTGATCACTGTGTCTCATTTAAAAAATGGCATTTAAATTTGCCATGATCACAGAATAACTCTTGCATTGGGGGAATTTTTTTTTTTCTCACCAAATTAAATTCATGTATTGAAAGCTTAGAGAAATAATAACATGTTATATTTTTTCTACTTCTAGTGCAACAGAATGGAATTCGGCATTGTTCCTATCTAGCTTCTCGGAAACATCTCTATGTTGATAAAAATACAAAGGTTATTTGCCAGGGTTTTACTGGTAAGCAGGTATGTATGTCTACTTTTACTTTAAATTATAGACTAGAGATGTAAAAAAAAAATCTAACTTTTGGGAACCAGCAGTTAGCGTAATGGCTATGTCGCTGGACTTCCACGTAGTCGACCGCGGTTCGTGTCCCGGACCCGGTGGCTTAAAACTCACGCCAGGCGCGTGTGCGTGCGTGCCCAAGATCCCGAGAGGAGAATGGAGGAGAAGGGATTGCGGCGTGACCATCCCCCCTGGGGGGTGATTTCTCGCTTTCTGTCTCTATGTCTCTCTCTGTCTGTCTGGCGAGCGCACGCGCCCTACAGTGAAAAATCTCTCCAAAAAAAAAAAAAAATCTAACTTTTAATTTTTAACATCACAAAAATAATAATATGTAATTGTTTGCATAAAAATATACTGTACAACAATGGGATTGAATTATCTTAGGAGGAGGTTGAGTGCTTTAGTCAGCATGTAGATGAAAATTGTGTTTAAACTTACCTTGAAAATCCTTAGTAGTGCACAGTGTTGGAGACCCACATGCTATATTTCAGAAATTATAACATTATTGATTTTCTTCATTGTTGGAACAGATCATCATTTCTTTGTTAAGCACTAGATAAAGTAGACTGCTTATGTTTAGCTCTTGTACAAAGAAAAACATACCATTAATCATGCCATCCACATTCTGTGTGGAGAAATGTTCAAGTCCAAAGTGGCTCATGGGAACTAAGGCAGGGAGAGGAACCACCAGCGCACTGACTTTTCCCATTTTACACATACTCTGGGGCAAGTGGACTTTGAAGAGATCAGCAGGCTGAAATATTGTAATTCATTCTTATTCATTTGTTTTCATTTTCTGTCCCTCTTTCCTGCCTACGTCATAGAATTTATGTAGGTTTATGTATCTGTAATATGATTCTACACTAAGCTGCTCCTTTCCCTCTTTCCTACCTGTCTATTCCCCATGAATTCTTTCTCTTAATAAGTTAGTATGTGTCCTTCCAGATATTTTTCTATTTTTTCTATACATACAAATATTTATATAATGCATTTTACAGAATTTATGTATATGTTTATATAACATTATATAATTTCTAATATATATGGAGTTCAGAAAGTTCACTGAATATGCATATTATGAGAAAACTATGCATGTATTTGAAAATTTTTTGCTCCAAAATATACTTTAATTACATATTTTCATGAACTTTTTGATTTACCTTCTTATAAAGCATATCTATAAAATAGAGTCCTTAAAGTGAAATTAGATGTCAAGAGTTCTGTGTATTTACATTTTTAACAGCTACTGCTAGGTTGCCCTTTAAAACATTTGAAAATACATACACTTGTGCCATAATATATGCATAGGATATTATTATCACTCCTGAGGGGGGGATGTCCATGCTGCAATCCCTTCTCCATTCTCCTCTGAAGATCTTGGGCATGCATGCACACATGCCTGGTGTGAGTTTAAACTGCCAGGTCCAGGACTCAAACCATGTTTGACTATGTGGGAGTCCAGCGACATAACCATTATGCCATCTGCTGGCCCCTGCATAGAATATTTTTAATGAAGGAATACTACGAAATCAATTAGATGAGACCCATGTGTCTTAACCCAGTATCCTGTCTTTGTTATTAAAGAAGATACGTAAGTTAAAAGTTAATGATTTTTTTTTTTAATTTAAAAGGTAATACTTTTTCTATAATTAAAGGAATTGTCATGTCAGTTCTGCAGTGTTTCTGTAGCCTAGAGCAGAGGTCAGCATTTATGCTGTAAAAGGCCAAATCATAAACATTTTTGTCTTAGTGGGTCATACACAGTCTGTTATAATACAGCATTGTAGCAGAAATAGCAGCCATACAGCATGTGCTTGTCAAGTCCCGGACCCGGTGGCTTAAAACTCACGCCGGGCGCATGTGTGTGCGTGCCCAAGATTCCAAGAGGAAAATGGAGGAGAAGGGATTGCTGTGTGGCCATCCCCCCGGGGGGGGGTGATTTCTCGCTTTCTGTCTCTCTGTCTCTCTCTGTCTGTCTGGCGAGTGCACACACCCTGTAGCAAAATCCTCTCCAAAAAAAAAAAAACAAAACAAAACTGTATTACTAAGATGATGAGAGTGATGGATATATGTTACTGGCTAGGAATAGTTAACCTATTTGTGTTTTCCTCCATTGCTAAGATTGTCTTTGCTTCTCCTTAGGCTTCCTAGTCTGCCCTTCTCACGTGTCTTGTGCTTTTCCCCTTAGGGTACCTTTCATAGCCAGCAGGCATTGGAATATGGCACCAAACTTGTCGGAGGCACCACTCCAGGGAAAGGAGGCAAGACACATCTGGGCTTACCAGTCTTTAATACTGTGAAGGAGGTAATTCATGGTACCCAAGCTTAGTAAGAAAAGCAGGGGAAAAGTGTGAGCATTTTTGGGGTAGAGGTTTTAATTGTGTTCCTTTTGGGAGAGTCACTTTCTATCCAATAACATAGAGAACTTTGAATCTCACTAAACACTAGTGTGTCATTTTTATTTACAAGCATGCATCAAATATTAAAGGAAGAAGTATGGGGGGGCTGGCATCTTGTTAGCTTATTATTTTTTCCTTACCTTTCTCCTTCTAGGATGTTAGTAGTACAGATATCAGCACCCCCCAACCCCCAGCTCTTATTGAGTATGGACTGTGTGGCAGGCACTGTGCTAGGTGCTTCATATACATACCCTATCCAGGCCTCACCACAACCCTCTGAGGTAGGTGCTGTCATCCTCCCCAATTTAAAGGCAAGAATACTGCTAGTGTAGAGAAGTTAAGAATCTAGCTCATAGTCTTACAGCTGATAAATGGTAGAATTAGGATTGCTCGGAGTGAATAGTGTAGTCCTGTTTTTTGAGAGGTTTTCGCTATAGGGCACGCGCACTCGCCAGACAGACAGAGAGAGACATAGAGACAGAAAACGAGAAATCACCCCCCAGGGGGGATGGTCACGCCGCAATCCCTTCTCCTCCATTCTCTTGGGATCTTGGGCACGCACGCACTCGTGCCCCGCAAGAGTTCTAAGCCACCAGGTCCGGGACGTGAACCGCGGTTGACTACGTGGGAGTCTAGCGACATAGCCATTACGCTTACTGCTGGTTCCCTAATGTAGTCCTGTTTGAACAAAATGACCTGCAGAGACAGATTGACAATTGAGGGTCCTAGATTCTTCCCCAATTTGCTGATTTCTTTCCTTCATTTTTCCTTTCTTTAAAAAATTTTTTTTTTTTTCTATAATGTGTGTGCTTGCACATGGAGAGAGACAAAAAGAGAGGACAAGTGGTAAATCACCCCCCTAGCAGGCACGGCCATGCCGCAATCCCTTCTCCCTCTCTCTCTTCTTAAAGGATTTTTGGCATGCACGCACATGCACCTAGCTCGTTTATCGAGCTCTTGGTTGGGACTTAAACCATGTGATCAGCCATGTGGGATCTAGCTGCCTTACCTACCAGCCCATAGAGCTAGTCCATCCCTCTTAAATTTTATTGTAACTGCTTTATGACCTTGAGATACTGAAAGAGGAGCTGTTTTGTTTTTTCTTTCTAGAATTCTTTTAGATAGACTTTTCTTTTGTCTTGAACTTTTTTTGTCTTCTTTCAAAGAAAGTTTTTGTTGCTAAGTAATTAATTAATTATTCATAGTAATATAAATGGATATGGCATTTGGAATATCCTGTATGTTCCTTGACAGGTACTGTTTATTTCTCACCTGTTCAGCTCTTACAAAGAGCATTCTATGTGAGTAGGATAGTGTGATTAGCCAGTACTCGTCACAGTCCAGCTTCTGGCAGTCTTTGTACCCTTAGGGGGAAGAGAACTATGAGACAGATTTTCAGTTAAATACTTACATGACTGTGATTTGACATTATTTGGTTCTTAACCTAGTTTATTTATTTGTTTTTTTTCACTTTGCTACTTCTCTGTTGTCACCTTGAACGGAGTTTTTAAAAAATTAGTTTTAATAATTGGCATCACTTGTAGATGATCTGTCAGCCTCCTTAGACTTGGTTCTTCTGTCAAGATACCTCTTTATTAAGGGTGCAGTAGGTAAAGCTTCTCAGTCTTTGGGGATGTGGGGAATCATTAGAGATGATTCTCAAAGATACTGTCTTTAACATTTGCCCCTTTCCTAGTTGTACCTGTATATTCTGTAGCTTAGTATTCGTATCCATTGTGAAATAGCACAGTGCAGCCTTCCAAAGGTTTATAGCTTGATTACGGTAGAGTTTCAGTGTTTATGGGGTAGCCTGTTTAACTGACAATAGTGGACACTTTAGAATCAGATATGCATAGGTTTACATCTTCATTCTGCTACTTCCTAGCTATCTGACCTCATGTAGTTATTTAATAACTCTTGGCCTTGGCATCTTGATTTTTAAACTGGGGATATTAAACACTCAGGATTATGATGAAGCCTTAATTGAGACTTGCATGGGTCTCACGGGCCTGGCACAGAATAGATACTGCTATTCTTAGAGAATCAGAGATCATTGACAGTCTCTGTCTTCAAGGAGTTTCCATTACAGTAGAAGAGACATGGCCACACATAAAGTGGGCAGAAGGATAAATATGTATTGATATGTATAAAATTCCAGTGCAGGCTCATGTTCACAGAGACGACAGTGGTAAATTCATGATCTCCAAGTGCTTTGCATCCTGAAGGGTGATAACAGTCGATCTTAGTGCTTATTTGATCCATGTTCTTATTTTATGGCCATTTATACATTTAATTTGATTGGCTTATTTCTAATAAATGTGCATTCAGAGTAAAAATTGTCAAGTAGAAAGCTTGATTTTTGCTGTCCTTTGATAGTATTTCCCAAGTATGACTTTTTATTTTAGAGGTTTTTGCTATAGGGCGTGTGCGCTTGCCAGAAAGACAGAGAGATAGAAAACGAGAAATCGCTCCCCAGGGGGGATGGCCATGCAATCCCTTCTCCTCCATTCTACTCTTGGGGTCTTGGGCATGCATGCACACATGCCCGGTGTTAAGCCCCCCAGGTCCAGGACTTGAACCACTGTCGACTACATGGGAGTTTAGCAACATAGCCATTACACTAACTGCTGGTCCCACATATTTTTAAATAGATGTTTGAGAGACAAGTTCTGAGCACCAAGGGTCTAGTAGTTCCTCTCCTGTGAAGGTGCAGGGTCTTTGGTACTGAATAGGTGGTAGTATCTTGGTCAGCAGGAGTCTGATATTAGACAACAAAAATGAGCATGGCCACAGGAATGAGAGGACACAAAAGTGAATTATGAAGTGCTTTCTGGTTTTCTGACATGCTGTTGCCCAAGGGGATGAGATGTCTTAACTCCTTTCAATTCACAGTGGCTTCAACAAACAGGAAGCTGTGCTTGGTTCTACTCTTTTCTGACATTGTAGTGAACTTGAAAATGGGAAGAATGAAGACATCCTATGTCTCCATGCTTGACCCCAAGACATTGTTAAAATCATGGTTATTGAACTTATTTTACGAGGTTTATGACTTAACCAATAATGAAGTGCTTCTTGGTTAATGTTTCAGGCCAAAGAGCAGACAGGAGCAACAGCATCTGTCATTTACGTCCCCCCTCCTTTTGCTGCTGCTGCCATTAATGAAGCTGTTGATGCAGAAATGCCCTTGGTTGTGTGCATTACTGAAGGTATCCCACAGCAGGACATGGTACGGGTCAAGCACAAACTGCTGCGCCAGGGAAAGACAAGGCTAATCGGGCCGAACTGTCCTGGAGTCATCAATGTGAGTGTGGAAACAAGCAGCCCAGAGTTAGCCTCCCAGGCCGAACAGCTTTGAATAGTTCAAGTGTGTTTGTGTATCAGACGTGTGAGTTACAATTTTTTTTTTTAAACTTCTGAAACTATCATTTACTTTCTTTCAGCCTGGAGAATGTAAAATTGGTATCATGCCTGGCCATATTCACAAGAAAGGAAGAATTGGTGAGTATGTTACTTTTTATAAATGAACAAAACAAATTCTTCACCCTAAACTCTCAAACTCATAAAGGGAATTTGTAACTGTGTGGAACAAATTTATCTTAATTAATGTAACTTAGTAGAATTGACCAGGAGAGTTCTGAATCAATCTATAGGCTAAATGGAATGCGCTTATTTAAGAAGCAATTACAATTCTACAGAATCAGTGAAGATTTTCGGGGGGAGAGGCTTTAAGGATATGCCTATGTTAGCTACTCAGAATATTTACAGTTTAGTTTACCATATAATGGTCTATCATATATATGATCTAATATTTTTGTATTCTCTTCCTTTAAGGTATTGTGTCCAGATCTGGCACCTTGACTTATGAAGCAGTTCACCAAACAACACAAGTTGGATTGGGGCAGTCTTTGTGTGTTGGTGAGGGACTTTTACTAACATCATTTTATTGGAATGTAGTATCTTCATTGAATGAGGATAGTAATAATTATTGATTTGATTATTTACAAGTGGTTTTGATAACATCTTATTAAAAAGATATGATGATCTTGAATTAAATTTGCCTAAATGTGAAGCTCTTCAGTGTTCTTTCAAGATTCATGGCCCAAACACATTTTTTAAAAAAAGTTTATTCACTCATTTTGTGAATGAGAAAGATACAGAGAGACAGAGACAGGACTCCTGGCTAGGTCTTGATGCTGCAATCCCCCCTGCCAAAACCACAACCTCTGTCAGTCCCGGAAAATGGGCAGATGCACGCCCAGCATACTCAGGGAGGTCTGGATGCAATCCAGCAACTTCCCCATATAGCTCAGCCTCATAGAGTGTTGCATCTTATTGCTGTGCCATGGCCAAGCACCAATGTTCATGGCCTAAGATCTGAGTTCTAGGTGAAGAGCAAACATCCTGGAGTATGTGCCTGGACCCTGGAGAGCCTCAGTGTTTAAAAACCTCGCTTATTTTGTGTTCTGTGAAGCAGTAGTTATTCATAATAGGACTTTTGTTATCATTGTATTGGGTCAGCAGAAAAGTCATGACTTTTTCTTTTTTCCCTGCAAAAACACGTCATGGCTTTTCTGACAACCCAATAATAAGGTGTAGAACTTAATAGTTGAATGTTTTTGCCATTTACTATCTCATTCTTTTTTTTTTTTTTAAAGAATTATTTACTATGTAAATTCCACTTGTTACTATATTTTTTAATTTGACCAGAGAGAGGGAGAAAGGGAAAGTGAGAAAGTAAGCCGCCAGGTTCAGGACTCGAATCACTGTCGGCCCTGTGGGAATCCTGTGCCTTTAACCACCATGCTACCTGCTGGCCCCTACTATCTCATTCTTAAGACAACCCTCTGAAGTGGCTCTGAGCTGAAAAAAGTTGGCCAAACAGTTGAGGGAGAAGAATTTTTAAGTTCCCCAGGAGCTCTCTTTTGCCACAGTTTTTAAAAAAAATTATTGCATCCTACTTTAAAAATAAAAATTCCAGTCTAGGCAGTGGTGTGATGGTTAAGTCAGCTAGATCCCACATGGCCAACTACCCGGTTCCAGTCCTGGACCCACTGGCTTGAAAACATACTTTGGGTGCATGTGCACACATGCCCAAAATCCTAAAAGGAGGGAAAGGTAGAGGAGAAGGGATTTCAGTGTGACCATTGCCCATGTGGGATGCGTTCTCACTCCATCACCACCGGTGTCTCTCTCTCTGGAGTGAGCATATGTACCCTTTGGTAAAATTAAAAAAGTAAAAAATTTCAGGAAGTTATTACATTTTAAAATAATTTCAATATTTTTTGCCAAAAGCCAGATATCTTAGAATATACTTGAAAATCCTTTCAGAAATATCTTTTATGATAAAGCCATTGTAAAATGTAGCCCCAACATATGATTGTTAAGACACACATTTAAGGAGCCAGCTGGTGACGTGGTGGTCAGGGCTCTGGATTCCCACAAGGTCGACCGTGGTTCTAGTCCCACACCTGGTGGCTTACTTTCATTTTTTTTTGGGGGGGAGAGGTTTTTCACTATAGGGCACGTGTGCTCGCCAGACAGACAGACAGAGACAGAGAGACAGAAAGCGAGAAATCACTCCCCAGGGGGGATGGCCATGCCGCAATCCCTTCTCCTCTGTTCTCCTCTCGGGATCTTGGGCACGCACGCAAATGCGCCTGGCGTGAGTTTTAAGCCACCGGATCCTAGACTTGAACTGCGGTCGACTATGTGGGAGTCCAGCGACATAGCCATTATGCTAACTGCTGGTCCCTGTGGCTTACTTTCTCACCCCTGACCGCCTCCATCTCTTTGATGAGTGCACGTACCATAAAGTGAATTAAAATAATAATGATCAATAATAAATTAAATAAATATTTCTTAAAAAAATAGACATACATTCAATATTGAAAACATTAACTGAGCTTTCTGTGTGCAAAACACAATCTTAGGAACAAGGTAATTTACTGTGATAGAGAATAAGGAAAGGTTTTGAAGCAGATTTGTCTATTCTGTCTTCTTCAACGTCAGTTTTTTAATTTGTCAGTGTAGTATAAGAATGCCAATCTCACAGAGAAGTTGGGAAAATTAGGAAATAATGGATCTAATGTGTGCCAAGCCCCAAGTCTTTACATATGGTTGGCACTTAATAAATGCTAGTTCCCTTTTCAACTTTTGTTTTCAGAGGTTACTGTAAAGTAAGAAATCAATCTTCTCCTCAGTAAGTTTAGTTTAAAAAGGTAGAACACGTAAAAATAACCAAAAATATCTAAAGAAAACTCCCCCAAAACTAAAGAAAAACAAAGTACTATTTTTCATAAAATTTTAATTTGCTGTTTATACTAAGATAATTCATGCATATAATTAGGACAAATCATGTCTTCAAAATTTGTTTTTGAACTTTTGAAGTACTGGTCAATCTGTCTTTGAAAAATCCTTTTGATATTTCCCAAAATAAAAATAAATAAAAATTAAAAGGTAAAACACGGAATCCAGTCTGTGGGGAGATACTCTTTCTTAAATGCCATGTGTTTGGAGTAGTGGTTACCTCACTGGACTCCCACATGGCCACCCTTGGTTTGAGTTCCAGACCTGGAGGCTTGAAACTCAAGCTGAGCATGTGTGTGTGCATGCCCAAAATCCTGAGAGGAGAAGAGAGGAGAAGGGATTGTGTCATGGCCATCCCCCCCGGGGAGTGGTTTCTTACTTTCTGTCTTCAGCGAATGCACATATCCTAGAGCAGAAAAATCTCTCTTAAAAAACAAATGTCATGTGCTTGAAGTAGAACCCTTCTGTGCAGGCTCTGTCATCACCCTCTGGGTGTAAAGGAAAAGGGGCCAGGGCACCCTTCAGCATGTCTCTCATCAGCACTGTGTCTTACTGTGAGTGGTTTTTTTGTGTTTTTTTTTTTTTTAAGAGGTTTTTGCTATAGGGTGCATGGGTGCATGTGCTTGTCAAACCCCCCCCCCTCCAGGGGGATGGCCACACCGCAATCATTTCTCCTCCATTATACTCTTGGGATCTTGGGCATGCACTCACATGCTCCCGGCATGAGTTTTAAGCCACCAAATCAGGGATTCAAACTGTGGTCGACTACATGGGAGTCCTGCAACATAGCCATTATGCCAACTGCAGGTCAGTGTGAATGATTTTTCTGCAGCATGTGGGAGGAAAGAGACTCAGTAAAGGAGTTGAAATAAAAAGAGGGTTGTGTGTGATTATCAGGAACTAAGCACCATTTGGCATTTATACACTATTGCAGACAAATAAATGTAGCATTTTGTGATCTTTGAATGTTAAATGCTAGTGTGTTGATACATTTAAAAATATTAGGAAGAGGGGTTGGCAGGTAGTACAGTGGTTAAGGTGCTAGACTCCCACATGACTAACTGCAGTTCGATTCCTGGACCTGGTGGCTTGCTTTCTCACTTTCCCTTTCTCTCTTTCTCTGTTTCTCTCAGGTCCAATTAAAAAAAAAATGATAACAAATGAAATTAAAAAATAAATAATAAAAAAACATATGTTAGGGAGAAGGGATAGGCAAAATGGGAAACCAGTTGAAACATTTCTTGACCTACATTCCATGGCTTATTCTGAAATTATCAGCTGGTACTGATATCCTTTGACTTTTTCAGGTATTGGAGGTGATCCCTTTAATGGGACAGATTTTATTGACTGCCTTGAAGTCTTTCTGAACGATTCATCCACAGAAGGTATCATACTGATTGGTGAAATTGGAGGTAATGCAGAAGAAAATGCTGCTGAATTTTTGAAGCAACATAATTCAGTAAGTTTGTGTTTAGGAGAACTATAGCTCTTTGCTCTTGAATAATATCTATCAGAAGCTTGTTTTTGAAGTAATTTTTATTTTTTCAAAGATTATTTTTTCAAGAAAATATTGCAGATACAGTTAAATCTTTCTGAGATGGGCCTCCTGTACTGGCCACTCAGAAAATTCTGGATGTTTCTGGGTTGATTCTCCTCCCCCTTTCCCACAATGCCTGTTTTCCCCTCTGAATTCTCCTCTCCAAGCATCACCCTACACTTGGTGGTAGGTAAGCTGGCCTCCTCCTGAATGGAGATTTCTCAGGCCATCAGCTTGGCCCACAGACTTTTGTGTTTCACTTGAGGTTGTTGGTCTTCCTTCTCTTCTCAGGGGAATATGATTGTTCTTTTTTCCAGGCTACCACCTTCTAAAGATCCTATCCTTTATACCCTTTTGAAAGATTTTGCTTCTCTTTACCTTTAGTCTTTCCTTGTAGAATCTTGCCTTCTTCTATCTTCAGGTATTTTCCTTCAAAGATCAAGTAGAAAAGGTTTCTTAAATTGTATCCTGTGGTCTCTCCCTTTGAATTAAATGGAAAGGAGTAGTGTGGCATCACATCATAATTAGCTCCACTCCTGGGCTGAAGAAGGGTGGAGGGAGGCGAGAGAGGAGGCACAGTAATGACTGAGAAGCTCAGTGCCCACCAGCCCCCTCTTGGTAGACACATGCTCTGGCCAATATTGTATCTGAGAACTGTGAGGAAAAACACACAAATGGTTTCCAGAGTTCCTCTGACACTAATGAATGGGGGAAGAAGCATCTTCAGGAGGCAGGCAGGTGGGTGGGGATAACTTTCTGTCTATGCTTGTGAAAAAAATTGTGTGAAAGAACTAAATGGCACAGACTACCAGCAAGTTAGAGGAACCAATAATGTCACCTTCAGGGTGGTATACACACAGCAATGCATATTTATCTGTGTTTCAATCAATTTTAAAGGACTATTTTTTTAAGTTTCTTTCTTTTGAGAAGGTGGGGGCACGCCCAACAGAATTTTTACTCCATGCTCCAACCCCAGCTTCCCTCAGCCAGGATTATGGGCATGCATGTGCATTCAGTATGCACAGGGACACCTTGGATGTGAACCCAGGACCTTCTGTATGGTTTCAGCAGTGTTGATCATTGTGTTACCACTGTGCCATGGCAGTTGGCCAATCAAAAGTCTCTTCTGAATGTATTTAATTTTCTTCTGTGATGATTTACATTTTTAACCTCCATATAAGATGTGACCCAATTTCCCCTCACTCTTTTGGATCTCTTTAGTTACTGTTCATTCACTTCCTCATCCCCAGCAGCTTGGCTTCTGTCTGCTATTTAGAAATTATGTGACCTTAGGAAAGTGTCTTAACCTCTCTGCCTCACTTACATAATTGGCAAAATAGGGAGACAGTGGTACCTGCCTTACAGAATTGTTGTTAATGGTTGTGAAATTTAAGTAGCTTAATGACATAAAGCATAGTAGTACCATAGGAAGATTCTTAGTGAGCTTTTTTTATTGTTGAATTTTTTTATTTTTCTGACATTGTTTGTATAAAAGTCACTAGGGATCTCAATTCATTCTTCATCTACTCTGTCCTCTTCATTTCTCTCCCTGTTTTCCTCCTCTTTATCCTTCTCTGGACCTACCTTCTATACCCATAGCTTAAGTGTGAATGATAATATCATAAAAACAGAATCACACTTCATGCAGTTCTCACAGCGGACAGCTGAGAACTACCTTTTATCTCTCTTACCTTGTTTCTCCTCCCTTATTCAAGGTCTGTCTCAGACCTCGTTGGTAAATCTAGCCTCAGAGCCTCACCTACAACTAGTTCCTCTGCTTTGGTTTGGCCCTCATCTCACCCTATCTGGGCCATGTCAAATAGTTCCTCCCTGATGTCTACACCTTTTTCAGTTAGCTGCCTTTCCTGGGTAGTCCTGCTTGTAGCCACCTAAATTATCTGCCCTTCTGAAGCATAGGCATTGTTGTAATGGGAAACCGGATACAGTGTTTCCCATTACACATCAGATGAAAGACACGTGTAGCAGGATATTCCAGACAACCACCCTAACCTTCCTGTTAGATCAATGTCCCACCTGATACCAGTTTTCATTCTTGGTCGCCTTTGCTTATCCTCCTCCATGCCAGGCTTAATATGTGACTCTTATTCTAGACTGACCTATGGATAGCAGGAAACTGGTATCTTTGGTTCCCCAGCATAATAGGTACCAATAAATGTTGAATAAATGAATGACTAAAGTAGGTTGTTAGGAGATTGAAGTAAAATATTATTAGATTTTCTTGAATTTAAAAAAGTTGTAAGCACCTACTATAGCAGAAAATTGGAAGTAACCTAATTGCTCATCAGTATATATCTGGTTAAATTAACTTACCACGTGAAATGGGATATTATGAAGCCATAAAATTAATAAGGCAATCTTGCAGGGCCTGAAATGGAATAATCATCTATACATATTTTTAATTAAAAAATCATATAGAATATAAATAAAAGAAACTCACAATTTAGGTAAAAATTAACTTTTTCTTTAGGAAAAAAGGAAATTAGGCTAATATACCCGTTAAAGTGAATTTTAAAATATACATGGTCCCAACTTTGAGTCCCTTGAGTAACTTGGAATTTAGTAGGAAAAGTAAATGTATATATTTTGTTTTAATCAGCAATGTTTTCCTGTTCTTGTTTAGTTCTTACAGAACTTTTGCTTTTTTCTGTTTTTAGTGTTTTTTTTTTTGTTTGTTTTTGCCATAGGGTATGTGTGCTCACCAGAGAGGGAGTGAGGGAAAGTGAGAATTCACCTCCCTTTGGAATGGCCATGCTGCCATCCCTTCTACTCTAGTCTCCTCTTAGGATATGGAACTAATTTTTTTCTTTTATTATTATTATTATTTATACATTTAATCACTGTACATCATTTAGACTATAAAGACTCTACCTAGCACGTTTTATTGAGGACCTAATGTGTACCAGATTCTGGGTGAAGCAGTTCAGATGAGATAAAGTATAAAACACTTGGAACAATCCTGGGCCTGCAGTAAGTGCTCAGGAAATGTTATCTGTTGCTATCACTACTGTTATTGTTATAGTGATAATAAATATTTGAAAAAGTAACGTTAATCCTTATCTTACCTTTTTAATAAGACACTTGTTTTTCTTCTACAAATGGGCATACAGCCAGTGAACAAAGGAGTGAAATTCATACCCAGGGCTGTCTGACTTCTCCATTCCATTGTGGAAAGGTCGGAGTCAGGTCACAGGGGTTAAGGGCAGAGAGTCAACAGTCTTGGGCATATGCTTAGAATATACTGATAGCACCCGAACTCATTGTTCTGTCTTTAGATTTTCACACTTCTTATTTCTGTGTCCCATTTTCACATTACACTTGCCCATAGTCTTCTAATTTTATATGTCTCTGCCTAAAAGACCTCTAGTGACTCTGTAAGTGGGACAGAATGTACATTTGTTTGACATTCTAGGTGTACCATAATCTTACTCTAACAATATTACCATTTTGGGGCCTGGCGGAGAGGGATCAAATAGAAATTAATACCATTCAAATATGAGGTTCTCCTTCTATGCAGTGCCCATGAGTTAATGATTGAGTGACTTGTGGAATCTTTTTAACACAACCTAAACCCACTCTTTGCTTATGGCAAGATACCGCATGCGAAGTTGTTCTCAATGGTGTTGGGACAAAATGTCATGGCTTAGGTACTATGTCACTTTTTGCTTGTTTCTTATCTCCCACGTCAATAGTAGATAGGAACACGTTTTTCTCTTATTATCATCCTTACATGGCAAGCTGCTTTTTTTAACCCTATATCACAGGTACGACGTAGGTGCTGGGCATAAGGTAGTAAAAGAGAACATGATATCTGTCTTTAGGGAGTGTGGTTTAGTCGTGGAGTGTGTAGGATTAGGTTACAGCCAGGGTACTGAACATAACAGTAGAAGCATGCACGAAGCATAGCAGGGTCACTGAATTGATGATCAACTGTAGGGATCTCTGTACAAAGTGTGGAATGAAGGGCCAGGAAAGTCTTACGGGGGAAGAGGAGGCTTGAGCCAAGTGTTAAAAGTTAAGTGAGAATTTGTCAAATACCCAAGAAGGTGAGGACATTCTAGGTAGAGGCACAGAGGTGGAGTAGTCTGGGGCCATTGGAAGATAAAGAGGAAGGAAAACCAGAGGGTGGAAAAGTGGAGGTAAGCATGTCAGCCCAGGTAGCACCTAGCAGGCTGACACTTTGGCATGAACCAGGGTTGGCGGTGAAACCAGACTCATCATCATTCACTGCCATGTACTGTGGTAATTTAAAGTCAGTTTCACTTAATAATGTCTTTGCTAAAGCAATAGAAATTATGAATTGTATTAAATCTCCACCCTTTCATCAGTATTCTGTGATAAGATAGGAAGTAAAGCAATTTTAAAATAGAGTTGTGAGCCAGACTAGCTGCTTTTATCACAGAACACCAGTTTTACTTGAACATGACTTGCCAACAAACTGGTTGTTCACACTTGAATATTTGGCAGACCTTTCATCAGAAATAAACAAAGCAGGGCTATAGCTTAGTGGTTAAGGGAGCCAGATTCCACATGGCCACACATTCGTGCTTCGAATCCCGGCCCCAGCGGCTCGAAAAACATGCCAGGTACATGCGTGTGCGTGTCTCAAATCCTGACAGGTTAGGAGTTTGGAGGAGGCATCGTGACATAAGCATGCCTGACTGAGGGATGCTTTCTCCCTCCCTCTCTCTCTCTTGCTCTGTCCCTGTTTCGCTCCGTCTCTGGTGAATGCACATGCCCTCTGGCAATAAAAAAGAAAAAGAACAAAGCAGGTTCAGGCATATGGCACAGGCGGTAGGACGTTATTGTGCAATGCTGGAGCCATATAGGGCCCTGGGTTTGGATCCTCAGTCAGCCAGAATAGGCTGGAATGTGCCCATGATATGCCTGTGATCCTGCTGGCTGGAAGGTTGTGGTGGAGAGGTGGGATCATGGCATGGTGAAACTTCGTCAAGGGTACATGTCTTTCTCTCTCTCAAGAAAGGGAGGAGGGAGGAAGGGGAGAGGAAAATGAACAAAGCAAACCAGCAACACCAAGAAAAACAACTGGTAGTATTTCTTGCTAATGCTAAAATGTGAACTTCCAAGTGAAAGCTTGTATCTGCCACCAGGAGGTTGACAACTT